AGTCTGTAACAGACCTGAAATAAAAAAAGACCGAAATATAGTAATATAATAAGGTGGCATGAAAAAACTGTTTCTGACAGTATAGTAAGAAGGCACACAACCAATTGAGCACTTCACTTGGCTGTAATTGTCTAATTACTCTACTTGAAACTAATTATTTCATTGTGCAAGTCTGTTAGAAAGACAGGGTGATACCTAAAGCCAAGGAAGATCTCAATTCAGCTGCTTTAAGACATGCACTGAGCTCCGGAGATCCTTTGTACATCCTCTGGATCGGCTGTATGTGTGAACGCAAATGTACGAGTGACGGCCTCCGGACTGTCTGTGGACCTCTTCCAGCCAGTCCCCCAGCATTACGTCCACAGAAAGTCCGGAGGAGCCGATGTGAGAACGCAGCAGGATATCCTCTGCATGATTCACCGCGAGTGAGTAGGGTGTTGATGACATTTCTAACATGCGGCAAATGCAAAAAGAAAAAAGAACGTTTCTCTCGCCAGCCCCCTAAGAACTCTGCAGATTGTCAGAGTGAGCCAGTGTGAGAACCCAGCAGAAGACCCTCCTGAGGTGAATTCAGATCAGGTGAATGGATGTGTTGATGAAGTTTCAGCTCAGCCTTGAAAAAATGATAGATTCCATGCAGCAAACTTATCCTGTGCAGCAGTGAGTTATGAGCTATAAACTCCTGTGTTTGTCAATGTCATTTTATGCTGTGGCTGCAGGTCTTCGGCTGAGAAGAGTTTTCATCTCAGAAAACATTAATCTGGCTGAATAAAGAATTATATCTGCTGAATTGACCATTAACTGCCAACATGCACAACAGATGACCACCACATTGCAACTTGTAGTCAAAAACTCTACTTCTACACAGATTACTCTTTACTAAGGCAGAGAGGTGCTCAGTCATTGCCACTGTTACAGTGCCAAAGATTTTTTCTAGAAAATAAAGACTTCATTAAAAAATTATCTTGATTAATTTGCCTAATTAAATTAAACTTCCTGCAGACTCACATTCAGAGCTCTGGGTTATTTTCATTCAAAAGAAGCTACAAAGGGAAATACAATTCAGGCTTAGGTGGCAAATGTAACTTCAGGGTCAAAGACAATTAACTCAAAGAGAAATGAGTGTTTAAAGAAAGAGAAAGTTCCTGTGGAGACTTTTACTTCTTTAAAATACCAGCTGTTTATAATTTTCTTATGTTCTTTGATTTTCTAATTAATATTCCTATCACATCCTTGTCCTGCTCAGCATTTGGAAAAGAAAGATGCAGGGGGATGGGGATCAGGTGGTCAGATGTGGCGTCTGGGACAATGAAGACAGGGTAACGTGGCTGGGGGGTTGGGTGTGACGCATGGATGTCTTAAAATAGAGTGCAGCCCTGAAGAAAGATTTGGGGGTTGATCACAGCAGTTAATCAAGCATATGAAACAGACTGTGCAAGACAGGCTGCCACAAAGGCACAGCAGGCCACATATGGGTATACCCATGTCTCTGGAGACAGATGTGGCATGTTCCTCAAAGAGAATGTGCTTGAGGATATTAACTGTTGTGTAAAACATCATTAATACACTTGCAGAGTCGCTGATTAAAAGGACCGAGGAGATTCTTCACATCCTCCCACATCAGAATAAACTTTTTGCTGACTGATGTTTACCATAACACAACGCCAGTCGTTACATCCATTATAAGTTGAACTAAATCCTGTGCATCTGCATTTATTTGATGCATTGATGTGCACCTCAGATTCATGTGATTCCCACTTACTCTTCACTCCCTAACTTACACACCCAATTTTCTTTATTAATTTAGTGACTTTGATCTAAATTCAAAAGCATGAGTAGATTACTGAATTATATGCGGGGCAGAGACCTAAGATCTATAAAGACTGAAGGGGACAAAGCAAATATCACTAAAGACAACAAAAAGCTACAAAGAGAACCAGCCATATTCTTAGTACTTTTTTCTAAAAACCTATGTTGGGGAGGGGGGAGTGGTCTTTTACAGGAGGCAGTTGTCTCATAGCTCATAATCCATCCAGCCATACAAGGAGATTCAGCAGACTGTTCAGAGTTAAAACTAAAGTTGAAAGAAAAACCATATCACATAGTGATCAACACTTACTGCAACTATGTACATGCAAGACTGAAATGTTTTGGTCAAATTCTATTTTAAAAAATGAAAAACCTAAATATGATTCATATGGGCTCTAGTTGTTTAAAAGGTGGAAGAGAGAAATGGAATTCATTGTGATTGTAGTTATTCGTGTATTGCCAATATATCATGATACAACTGTGGAAGTGAGAAAAGCATTGTTGTTTTTCTGTCTGTCTTACTTTTAGTTTTAGTTTGACAAGTGAATTATGAATCATGCCTAACAAATAGTAGAATGCAAAATTAATTAAGACAAATTTTACTCTGATTATATCAATTTTAAATTAAGTTAATTGTTAAATGAAAAATATAAAAAACATGCTTATCGAAATCTTAATTTCAGTCAGTAAATATAGATAAATGTCAAATAATTTTTCTCTTGAGTGAAGGTTGGAGTTTTAAACACTTTTTATGTGCAGAGAATGACAAATACTTGCTAAACAGCAAAACATTTTACATCTGAAGTTGAACATTAGAAGCATTATGTATTACACCTTCTCACCATGCCTGCACAATGCAATATCATATCAATGTGGATCAGGAGGTAGAGAGGGTCATCTACTAATCAGAGGGTTGGTGGTTCAATGACCAGTCTGGATTCCAAATTGTCCTTGGACAAAATACTGAACCCCAAATTGCTGTTGTGTGAATGGGTGAATGTACTATACAAGGCTATGAGTGGTCATTAAGACTGTAAAGGCTCGATACAAATACAGTCAATTTACCATATTGAACTGATTGCTATTAATACAAATTATATTGCGAGAATTATTGTTATTATTTTATCACCCATTGTTAGGCAGGATTATTTGTAGAGTCTCTACTTTCTCATCAAATTATGCTTCAACAACTGTGCTTCTGTTGCTCAACAAAAACTTCAAAAGATGCAGTTTAAAGCAAGAGACATGTCATGATTCTTGCTTAACCTGCATAAAATTTTATGGAAAAAGGTTTCTTTTGTGTTTCTTGGGGAGATGAGAATATTAAAATATAATGTAACCAACGACCAAATCTAAAAACTGCTAAATCATAATGTACTAAATTTTTGATCAAGAGATTCAACTTCAACTATCTTAACTTCATTTTCCTACTGCAATACTGTCAATAATGTGTGACAGATAAAGCTACACAAGCGGGACTGTTCTACACAAAAGACATTTGTGAAAGGGCAAAAATAAAACTGGGGGGTGTCACACAGATAGATCAAACACTCAACCAGAGAGGAAATATATGAACAGGATGTAAATTGCATGGGGATTTTCCCTGTGCTCTGCACATGGCAAACATAACAAGCATATGAGAATCACCCTAAATCATCTCAAGCTCTAATCTCTAATAAATGACAGAAATAAGGAAGAAAATTACTTTCAGTGTCCTCTCATTTTCAGACACTTTATCATAAAAACATGTATTATGGTACCTACAGCACAGAAGTATAGTGAACCAGTCCACTTTCTTTGCTGTTTTTACACAGTAATTTACAGTGATCCTTCACAATTTTACTGCTTAGTAGAACCCACACTGTACATGGTGTCTCACTCTCCTTACATCCGCTGCTCCAGTGAATAGGCTTGCTAAGTGATCATTATGTCTTAGGTCATTGTTAAAGGAAATAGCCCAAGCTCAAAGCTCACATTTCATGATGATAATGCGAAACAAACTGTTGGGGGGGGGCTTTTTCTTGTAATTTGGTTGACTTAATAATAGCAACCTCTCTGCAAGCAATGTCAGCAACTTCTATCACAGTACGGTAAAATGAAATGCTCTGTAAGATCAAGCATACAGAAGCAACGGCAGCAGTATTGGCTGCTACACACAGATAACTAGAAGTGACAACAACATTTATTTTGTGCTGAATATACCCCTGCTCTTTTCCCTTTAATTCTCCTCTCTTACACTGAATGTCCTTCCAGTAATCCTGCTGAAAGGTTCACCCTAGTTACTGTCACCACAGCCCCTCTACGGTCATCTTATTGTTGGTTATCATCAATTACACCAGTGAGATCAAATGACACTGTACATTGATGAGTCAAGATAATTTTGGACTAAAATATGAGTAATCATGTCTGAAGTGACAATGAGATTATTTTAAAGATCAGTAACTTGCAACTTAATTAACATACATACATATATATATATAAACTGCAGCTACAGATGAAACGTAGCTTAACTTCTTTCAAACGAGATTAAACATCCACAAATTGATGTGAGAACACTGGTTGTCAGTGGGTAAGAAAATGAAAAATTCTATGTCTTATATAATTGTTCAAGAGGCAGCATCTTTGTCTCTAACCAGCTCAAACCAGCACACAGCCATGGAAACATGTGGCCAAAACAGAGTGTAACCTAAGAATTGTAAAAGAGTTGTTTGTTTGTCAACAAAACTGTAATATATTCAACCTCTGTACATTTAACTCCCTTTTGGCCGCCGTGCCTGGGAGGTATCACAGCCCAAGTGAGTGGGTGTGCTGATGAAGTCTCTAACTAGCGAAAGACACAAAACTGAAATATAGAAAAAGCAAATATCTCAGAATAAAAAAGTGGTAAAATACATGTAGAAGGCTTTTGGTGATATGGGATCGAATCCAGCGCCGAAGTGCTATAAACAAAAAAATGGGATCTCCACAGTGTGATTTGTACATCCTATCCTGCATTTGCATGCTACACCTCCCCTCCCCTGAACGCTCCGGAGATTTCTGTTGTTTTTGTGAGTGTGTCTGACCATAGAATCTCCTGCTGCCGGAGAAAATCCAGACCCAACTGTGCAGATATTCTCAAAAGTTCATGCGTTAACATCTATAATGTAAAAAAAATCCAGATAAATATTTTCTCTCATCAGAAGGTATTTTACCTGTCCTGTGACTGCTCCTCATACATCCTTTCCTTTCCCTCTTTGAAGAGCCGGATGGCCCGTTTGGATTTCTTCATAAGGCTATCGATGTAGATTTTAAAGTACTCATTGTCACTGAGCTGTGCTAGTCTCTGGTTCTCCTCATATTTGCCCAGTATAAGCCGCAGGTGCTGGTAGGCATCAGGTAAGATATCCAGGATGTACGGTGGACTGTTTTTTAGCTGGAGTCTGGGATTTTGGCACAACCGGACCTGTGGCAAAGAAGTCCACTGATGAACATTTGTTTTATGCTGTGACATTTTGTCAAGTTTACACATCACATAAAGTGAGCTGACATTTGATACAACAAGTAATTTGATGAAATCTGAAAGGCACTTCATTTTACAATGTTACCACTTTCTTTACTGAGCATCTGGTTAAGCAAATTAATGAATCAGTCCTCTACTGGCACATCATTAATGAGTTATCATTATATGTGCCAGTCATACTGTGAAATAACGGAGGCTGTCAAAAAAAATGCTTAAATTAATTAAATGCACAATCAGATAATATGACTGCAACCATGCAGCCATTGGCAATAGCTCCACCTCTCCATGTGCATCTACAACACAGACTGTGCCTCCTTCCATCTGGCAGACAGGCCTGACAGGTTTATAAATCAAAACGTACAACTTTATCCATGAGTTTCCAGGTCTTCTCCACAGTCCTACGGTCGGCAGCTGCTTGTTTGGGAGGTCCCACTGCATCCTGGATGGCATCAATTATACCTAAAATGCGACCCTTACTTCGCTGTGGTCCACGTCCGCCAGGGTTTCGGCCACTGAGAGCAGTTGCCATTTCCTACACACTGAAGCAAATAAAGGAATAATTACAGCCAATGATTACTGCCATTCAAAATGTATTTGTGGATGATTGTTATTTCAGACAGTGCTTCATCTATTGCACTTCTGTCCGCGCTGGGAGAGCCTCACATGTGGCTCTCTGAAGTTTCCAAAATGTTCCACTGTTAATGGGGGTTTTTTGGTAGTTTTTCCCTTACTCTTGTTATGGGTGAAGGAAAGGTGATATTGCACCTTATTTAAGCCCTATGAGATAAATTGTGATTTGAGAATATGGGCTATACAAATACAATTTGATTGATTGATTGAGATAGCAAATGAAATAGCAGAGAAGAGATTGATGTCTTTGGTTCATTAACAAAAACAGTCTCCAGGGAGCTGTATGAACAACACATATTGATGTTATTGCCAGTGCTTGTCTCTTAAGTGCTCTTCAGCAGCTAATCTACCTGAAATACGTCTTTGGGTTTGACTGATTCCTTAGATGATCACAGGCTCCCAGTCTGGCGTCACGTTGAGACAATGTGCTTTACCAACTACTCTCATCCTAAGTGTCACTGTGCTTCAGCTACAGAGCAGCAGTGATGGACGCAGAGCCTGCTCACTGGTCACAGAGGTGACTTCAGTGTCGTTGACATTACATTTCGACCTAGGATTACTGCAAATTCATGATCATTCTTCACTACTCCACTGCGAAAAGAAACAGGAACTAAACAAACTGCTGATTGGGGCGACTCTTGTGATTAAATACTGATTTACACGTACACTGTGATCTATTCCTTCCTGCTCATGTCTGTTCGTAGAGTTCTGTTCTTCCTAAAGAACCATCAAACCTTCTTGCGTTTCCTGGGACAGGTTCTACAAGCGCCTGTGAGCAGCAGGAGCAAGTAACACAAGCAGAGCAGAGATTCATATCACTGTAGCGTTTTCAACAGGAACTCACAGGAATCGATCATTGGAGAGGACAGGCAGGGTCCTAACTTACCAAACCACCAGGGGATGTTTGCTGGGATCCCTCCTAAATGTGATCCACATCCAGCGAACATACAAACACAAACAAAAAAAAGGAGTGTCCAAGTCCAAAAGAGTGTGGTGAAAGTATCCAGTGTGTGTGTGTGTGATCGTGCTTCTCCTCTACGAACACTCCATGTCTCAGAGTGGATTTTAAAAGCTGGTCCAGGGGAGATGACTTCATGTACACGGAGCTCGCAGGTCTACACTGTATGTTTTGTACAGCGACATCAACGTGAAGGCAGCTAATACGAAAAGCCATTTCCAGTTGCATGTTTCAAAATAAAGGTACAATTCAGGGGAAATATTATTTACTCAGAATTAGCATTTCATAGCTGTGTGTGTGTTCTTTGTTTAAGAGTTTCCCTCTATCAAATGTTTTAGTTCGATTGAATACTGTTCCAATCCTCCCGATACTCGTCCCTTCCACTCGATCTTGTCACATTATCTCTGTTTACTTTGAAGGCGCACAGCCACTTTCCGGTGCCTCTTGCCTGTGTTCGACTGACTTGATGCAGCTGTTCCAGCGGTGGGAGGGTCAATGTGAGTGTGAAGCAATATTTTCCAGGAACCGAGCAACGCCATGGCAGAAGCAACGAGGCGCCCACTGGTGCCCTGGAGGGTGTTACTGATGTCACGCTGGACGTACTGAGAGAGAGAGAGAGAGAGAGAGAGAGTGTGCCCCCCCCCCTCAAAAAAAACAAAAAAACATGCTCTTATTTTAGTGGCGCACTGGCCCAATTTCCGGCATTGCTCCGTCTTCATGCTTATGTTTTGATGCAGCCGGGGAGGAGAGTGACAGGAGAAGGGCCGCTCCCACAGAAATCCACACTCCTCTCTCTGGACAACACAGACAGTCAGTGTTCAGTGTTGTAGCGGAAATAACACAGGAAGCAGTGTGGGAGACAGAAAAATGTACAGCACAATAACTGCTACACAGACAATAATTATTCTTACAGTCACACAACAATAAGTACAACAAAATAACCCAATGATAACATTTTGAAGAATGTTACTGTAGTAATTCCACATGGAATACAACACACATGCCTGGAGGAGTCAAGGGAAATTGATGAAAGAGCATCACAGGCGCACACACTCACACATGCACACAAACACTCGCCTAAGAAGGTATGTTTGATCATTTTCTGTCTCTGGTGTTATAATTTAACACGATAACACATGAATCCAATGGAAGAAATGTTCTTCCCCTGGTTTTAATTTTAACATTTTTCTTTTATTACTCTAAAATTCAAAAGGGCACACATTCACATTCTGTGTGCAGTGGCACATTCTATTGTTGTATAAGTGGATCAGTCAGTGATGTTTCCAAAGAAAGCACTGCATGTTGACTAAGATGGGGTTTCTTGTTGCTGTGTGCCTTTGGTCACATTCAGTTCGTAGTCATGGAAAATGACTGTAATAATTCCTATCTTTATCAGAACAACCTTCTTGATCCTCACCAGTCTGGTTTTAAGGCAGGTCACCGAACTGAGACAGCCCTCCTTGCTGTCTCTGAGCAAACTTCACACTGCTAGAGCAGCCTCTCTCTCCTCTGTCCTCATCCTTCTGGACCTGTCTGCTGCATTTGACACAGTGAACCACCAGATACTATCCTACCACAGATCCTTTCCAAGATACCTGATCTTGGAGAGGATCTGTGTCAGAATCTTGTCCACTCACTACTGGGGTCTCTCAAGGTTCCATCCTGGGTCCCCTTCTTTTCTCTCTGTACACCAACTCTCTCGGCTCTGTCATTCAACCACATGTCTTTTCCTACCACAGTGACACAGATGACACCCAACTAATCCTCTCTTTCCCCCAATCTGAAACACAAGTAGCAGCACAAATCTCTGCTTGTCTGACTGACATCTCTCAGTGGATGTCAGCATACCACCTGAAAATCAACCTTGACAAGACCAAGCTACTTTTCCTTCCAGGGAAGGGCTCTCTCACCAATGACCTTACTACCACCATCAACAACTCTGTTGTAGCCCCTACCCAGAATGCTAGGAACCTGGGTGTAAAACTCAACATTACCATCAATTAGGTAAAAGGAAAGAATTTTAAAGATTTTTTTTTTAATTCTCCA